CGCCAACACCCGGGCTCCTCCCCTGCCCGCCCCTCCGCCTCTAGCCCCGCCCCCCGCCACCCCGCTCCTTCCTGACACTCTAGCTATTAGGCGAGCTCTGCCTGGGGCCGGCAGGAGTCTCGCGGGTCGCCTCCGCCACAACCCGTCTTCTACCCGCCTTTGCTGGAAAATGGGCCGCAGAATATAGGTATTCTCCGGCTCCCCAGCTTTGTTCTCAGTCTCAGGCAAGCCGTCAGCTGGAGCAAAGGACGCCCGCATAGAGAAGGACGTGTGCTTAGGGAAGGAGGCGGCGACCGACATAGCCTCAGCTTCTTGGTTCCGCGTTTTCCGCAAAGAAAGCTGAGTCGGTAGCTGCGGGCAGCTGGTAAGCCGTCTCCAGGGCTACAACGCCGCCTTTGACCCTGCGTGCAACAGTCCGCGCTCTGCGCCGTGGGACCCGCCCTTCTTAGCGTGCTCGCACCGCCCTCCCCCTTGCGCCTGCGCATCGGATGCTAGACCAGAAGTGTGTGGGGGTACAGTGAGAATAACTTCGGCGAAGACTGGGCTCTTTTTGTCCGATTTACAAAACACTTCCACAGGCGTCGCAATCTTGGGAAGTGACACAGAGCCTGAGACCCGTAGAGGCCCAGGGATACACAGGTGGTATGCGGCAAGGAAAACCGAGCTGGAGCAGGGCAGGGTTAGCGGTTTCAGTGACAGATCTAATGCATTCCTGACTTTTTACATGTGAAAATACCTTTCGCCTCCTAGGCCTTTCTGAGTTAGAGAGTAATAATAAATAATAGGTCAGCTATAAAAAGTTACAGGGATTTGTTTTTTCCCTTGAGGAATATAGGTGACCTTCTGTTGCACGTTCTTAAATTGTTTTTACAAAAATCAGGATCTTACCAGATGGAAACCGCTGACCACAAGCACTAGACCATAGACTGCCTAGAGCCAGAGTTTTGATGATTGAGATTCCTGTAACTTTGCCCTGTTACCTCACCAAGAACCAGTCAGAAGAAGTTTCAGGAGCTGATCAATTACCCTGGGACCATCACCCGTAATGTTGCCCTGAAAGCCATTGGGGAATATGAATATTGTGAGCATAAGCTGTCCATTCTCCTTGCTTGTTGTTCTGCAGTAAATGCTGTAGTTTCCTTCACCACAGCCCAGCCAGTAGATTGGCATTCTGCTGTATTGACAGAAGGAAGCAGTTGCAAATAGAAACCATATGGCTCTCAAAGTCTGAAATATTAGCTGAGCCTTTACAGAAATTTTTTGCAGTGTCCTGCTTTAATCCATAACTGTCGACCTACAGATCCCCCAGCCTCACCAAAATGCTGCTCCAGGGCAAAAGTTAGGAAGGAGCAGACTTAGGATGCATTTTCTGCTTATGAGTGCACCAGTCCTGGTCCTGTTTTAGAAAGCTGTATTATCCTGTCAGCTTCAAAAACTAAGAGAAGAAGTTCCCCCAATACCATACTGACCAAAGGTCCCAAAATGGGAGATATGGAGGTCTTCTGCTTTCTGCATTTCACATTGAAGGAGCTGTGGCATCACAGGTCTCCACCCTCACCATCATGTGTCTCACCTCCATGCTTTTGAGCATTCTGTTTCCTCAGCTGAGAAAATGCTCCCTTCACTCTTTAACGGGCTAACAATTTCAAGAATCAGTTCAGACATGACTGAAGCCTTCCTTCATCTCTTGACAGATTGCCTCAATCTCTCATTACTCCTGGGTTGACCTGTAACATGGTCCTTACCATATGACATTCAAATTATTAGTCAATGTGTTTCCCTAACCTGACCATGAACTCTTCAAGGACAGGAACAGGCCCAAAGGCAAGGATCATGTCTCAGGCATAGAGCACACAGTGGTTACTCAGTATATACCACTTATTGAAATGCACTGAACACTGGTGGATTAGTCAGCTCAGGCCGCCATAACAAAATACCACAGACTGGGTGGCTTAAACAATGGAAATTAATTTTCCGGAGGCTAGAAATCCAAGATCAAGGTGCGAAGAAGGTTGATTTCTACTGAGACCTTTCTCCTTGTCTTGCAGATGGTTTACCTTCTGGCTGTGTCCTCACATGGCCTTTTCCTCTGTGCTCCCATGGAGAGACAGATCTGGTTTATCATCTACTTTCTTTTTTTCCCACATCTTTTTTTAGCATATACTAAATACTCAAAAATATTTAGTTCTATCTCTGGACTTCGTTTAGTGTACATCACTGTTTTAATTATTGTAGTTTTACATTAGCTTTTAATATCTAGTATAGTCCCACCTCATTGCCTTCTCCTTCAGAAGTTTCCTGGCTATCCTAGATTGTTCATTTTTCATGGGAACTTTAAAACCAGCTTATCTAATTCCATATCCTTTTCCACCAAATGTCATTGGTGACTTTATTAATCTTGTTAAATTTATAGATTAAAGGGCATTCATATTTTATGATGTTAAGTCTTCCTATTGAAGTTCATGGTATACATTTATATGCAAGTTTGTGTCCTTCAGTAATATTTTAAAGTTTTCTTCAATAAATATTTCACATTCTTGGGAATTCTCTGGTGATCCAGTGGTTAGGACTCCTCACTTTCACTGTCAAGGGCCTAGGTTTTCTCCCTGGACAGGAAATGAGGTTCTCACAGCCACACTGTATGGTGCAGCCAAAGGGTAAGTAAGTAAAGAGAAACTAAAAGATAAAAAAGTGTTTCACATTCTTGTTATGTTGGTAGCAAGGTTTTTTTTTTCTTTTTGTTTTTAATATAAATGGGATTTCCCCATCTCCATGTCTGTTAACTGTTTGTTGTTTGTGTACATGAAGATTTTTCATTCTGTATATTTATTTTGTACCTATATGTATGAAATTCTTATTCTTTGTAATATAATTTGAGTGCTCCAGATGTGCCATCATATTATCCAAATATAATGAGAACTTCACCATCTTTCCTATTTTATATCTGTTAATTTCCCTTTGAATACTTGCTTGGGCTAATACCTCAAGAACCATATTAAATGATAATGATGATAGTGAGTATCATCTATTTAGAACTTTAGTGAGATTGCTTCTAGTATTCCTCCAGTAAGCATGATACTGACTTTTAAGTTGAGATAGTTATGTTGTATTATGATAAAGAGGGAGCTGTCTTCTCATTTTCTTGAGTTTTATTAAGAATGTATGTTGAGGGGCTTCCATGATGGTCCAGTGGTTAAGACTCTGTGTTCCCAATGCAGGGGGCCAGTGTTCGATCCCTGGTCAGTGAACTGCATCCTGCATGCCGCAGTTAAGAATATGCATGTTACAGCAAAGATCCTCAGGTTGTAGCTAAGACTCAGTGCAAATAAATTTTTTTTAATTAAGAAAAGAAAAGGGATGTAAAGAATGTATGTTGAATTTTATCAAATGCCTTTTCAGACTTTATGAAGAAAATCATTAGGATTTTTTCCTCCTTAAATCTATTGTTATAGGTGAATAAACTTTCTGAAGCTTAATCATGGTTTTATTCTGGAAATATACTACATTGTCATTTTTATAGTATTGACATATGACATTATGTTTGTTTCAAGTGTACAACATAATGATTTGATATTTGTATATATTGCAAAATGATCACCACAATAATTCTAGTTAACATTGGCACCATATATTAGTTACAAAAAATTTTTTAAAGATCTCTTCTCTTAGCAACTTTAAATATGCAATACATATTATTAGTAGTCACATGTCATACATTACATACCCATAACTTAACTATTTTATAATTAGAAGTTTGTACCTTTTTTTTTTTTTTTAGAAGTTTGTACCTTTTGACTCCCTTCATCCAGTTCTCTCACTCCCCAACCCTATGTCTGGCAACCACTTGTCTGTCATTGTATCTATAAACTTGGTTTGGTGGCTATTGTTTTAAATTCCATATATAAATGAGATCATATGGTCTCTGTCTTTGTGTGACTTATTTCACTTAGGTCCATCTATGTTGTCACAAATGGCAATATTTCTTTTTTTTATGTCTGAAGAATATTCCATTGCATGTGTGTACTATAACTTCTTTATCCATTTATCTATTTATTTATTATTTGGTTGTGCTGGGTTTTTGTTGCTCTGTGGGCTTTTCTCTAGTTGCGATGAGTGGGGTCTACTCTTTAATTGCAGTGTGCTGGCTTCTTATTGTGGTCCTTCTCTTATTGCAGAGCATGGACTCCAGGGCACCTGGGCTTCAGTAGTGGCAGCACATGGGCTCAATAGTTGGGGCTCCCAGGCTCTAGAGCACAGGCTCAATAGTTGTGCTGATGAACTTAGATGCTCCTGGGCATGTGGAATCTTCCAGGACTAGGGGTCAAACCCATGTCTCCTGCATTTGCCAGCGGATTCTTTACCACTGAGCCCTCCATTCACCTGTTGATAGAGACACTTAAATTGTTTCCATGTCTTGACTATTGAAAATAATGCTGCAACAAACATGAGGGTGCAGATATCTTTTTGAATTAGTATTACTTTTTGCTTCAGATAAATACCCAAAAGTGGAATTTCTGGATCATGTGGTAGTCCTTTTTTTAATTTTTTGAGGAACCTCCATACTGTTTTCCATAGTGGTTACACCAGTTTACATTCACATCAACAGGGCATGAGTTCTTTTTTCTCCACATCCTCACTAACATTTGTTCTTTCTTTCCTTTTTGATAATAGCCATTCTAACAGATATAAGGTGATATCTCATTATGGTTTGCATTTGCATTTCCCTGATGATTAGTAATATTAAGCATCTTTTCATGTACTTGTTGTCTCATCCTCTTCTTATAAGGATGCCAGTCTTACTGGATTAGGGTCCCACTCTTATGACCCCATCTAACCGAAGTTAAGGCTTAGTAGGGCTTCCCTGGGGGCTCATTCGGTAAAGAATTTGCCTGCAATGCAGGAGACCTGGGTTTGATCCCTGGGTTGGGAAGATCCCCTGGAGGGGGGCATGGCAATCCACTCCAGTATTCTTGCCTGGAGAATCCCCATGGACAGAGGAACCTGGAAGGCTACAGTCCATGGGGTCACAGAGAGTTGGACATGGCTGAGCATCTTTCACTCACTCAGCCTGAGTTAGCTTCTTAAAGGTCCTATCTCCAAAGTCACATTGAAGGCTAGAGCGTCAACCTATGAATTTGGGAGCCACAAAATTCAGTCTTATTAATAAGCTAGTGAACTTGAATTTGGAAGGTAGGGGCTCCGGTACTGACTTTTCCTGAACCTAATTAAGTGCTTTTGGGTGGCAAGTCCATTATCCTCTAGGAGCCTCAACTTCATCTCTAACATGTGGCCAGTTTTACAGAGCTGTTGAGAAGCTGAAATGAGATCATGGCTGGAGGACATTTCATGGACTATAAGTTCCTACACAATAATAATGATTTAACTATTTCTTCTATTAGTATATCATCTTGTAGTAATTGATTTTAAATGCATTGTATCAGTCAATATATATGCAAGGAATCATTGTTATTATTACCACATGACTTCCTAAAGGGAAATTTGTTTATAATTCGTACCCTATCTTGCAGGAAAGGTTCAAGGCAGCACATGATGAAAACACTTATGTATGAGAGGGCATTACCTGTCACTTCTCACAGAGGCTGCAGAAAAGGCCCAGGAAGCTGTTGATGAAATGAATGACCACCAGGAGAATCTGGAGGAGGCTGATGCACAGAAGGGTGGAGAAGAAGCACACGTGCCAAATGACAGCTTTAGAAGGCTCCAGGCAGACAGAGTTCCAGAGTGAATGGTCATACAAATAATTCCTGTCCCCAAAAATAAGGAGGCCAGGGGTTGGAATAAGTAAGAAAAGTCCAAGCAACCTCAATAGAAACCTGGGTTCACCCTCAGCTCAGGTCGTAGGATTAGACTTTTGAGGGTGACTCTTTTTGTATTTGCAATTTTCTAAGAATCAGAGAAGCAGGATGCTAGAGTGCATGACCAAAAGGGGTTTGTAGCCCATGTGTGTGTCTTTCTCTTTCCGAAAAACTGCAAATCCAAGTTTCCATCCATTTACCTGTTATGCAGTTCTTTGAATGGGTAACCATGTTCCCAAGCCTGTGTCTGATTGAAGGGTGAGACATCAAACATGCAAAAAGGACCATCTTTCAGGGCTACTCCAGAAGTGATAAAGCAAATGAAGGCTCCAAGCAAAGCCAGGCCACTTGACAACAGAGCGGTAAGCATCTACACAAGAAGAGAAGAAACAGTGAGCCTGAGATGGGGTCATGACTTGGTGACTAGGTGACTTGTGGGGCGATCTGGACAAGTCTCACTTCTCTGGTGCTCAGGCTTTCCCCAGTCATGGGGATAATTTTACCCACAGCACCTCCTTGAAAACATAACCATGGTAGGGTTGGTTGACAAGGGGTCACTGAGTAGAACCAGAAAGGGGTGGGAAAGAAGGAACAGGAGGGGGGAGGGGGAGACCCTGACACCTGGACCAGGCAGCAGGCTCAGCCTGACAACAGGCTCTTCAGAGCTTCTCCGCAGATTGGCATCAAAAATTGTACACTCAGGCTGCAGTCATTCAGTCTCTGGCTTAAGGGTCAGACTGGTTATCCAAGCCCCACTCCAACCCTTTTAAGGGAAGGCTATATTTTTTCAAAAGTTCCAAGCTGCCATCCATGATTCCTCTCTTTCTCTAATCAAGGAAGGAAGGGAGGAAGAGGGAGAAGAAAGGAAAGGAGGGAGGGAGGGAGACAGAGACAGAGAGACGGGGAGACCAAGTCAGAGCTTACACTCTGAAATGACTTGAGTTCTATCATGGTACTTTTCTAGTCTGTGCACCACTCATTTCCCTCCCAAAAGATAGTAACATGTTTATTTCCTTGGCAGGATTCTAACTTCCAAATTGGTTTCTTTCTCAGAGTACTAGATTTTCTTTCACCTTCCAAAAGAACATATGTTAAAAGTTTAAATAAAACATATATATGTGTGTGTATACACACACACACACACACACACACACACATATATACAGAAACCATATATAGTTTTTATATAGAATCATAGAGTCATTTTCCCACTGATGTCAAGCTGGTTTAAAACCCAGGAGGGGCCAAAGAAAGGTGCATACTAAGTTTTGACTCTTAAATTAAAAGATTCAAGATGAATTAGTCTGACATAAGCCTAGGATGGTGGTTCTGGAAATATGGTCCCTGTCCTAGCAACATCATATCACCTGGAAACTTGTTAGAAATGCAAATTCTCCTCCCACCAACCCAGTCCTATGGAGTCAGAAACACTCAGGGTGGGGGGTGCCAGCAATCTGTGTTTTAGCACAGCCTGCAGGGATTCCAATGCACGCATTCAAGTCTAAGGGCCACTTGCCTAGGGGAAAACCAGACATGACTGAGAACAGATAGTGAATGAGATATATGGGTGTTTATATTTAATTCTTTAACATGTAGTTCTAAGTCAGTGGGGTTCCCAACATGTGGGTTGTAGATATTAAAGCAGACTGTAGATTTACTGTAAAAAGGACACAGATTCATGTGTCTGAGGCTGAATGAGCAATACACCATATACACTTATGTACTGAGATATTTCAAATATATATAGATGCTGCTATAATTAATAAAGTGCACATTTATTCTGGGCCTCAGTTTCATTTTCTGTGAAATGGAGACGTTAGACTAGAATCTAGTCATCAGATCTCTGGAGAGACTTTCAGCTCTAAAAAAAATTAAAATAGCCAGGAAATTTTCTGTCAATGACACATGACTACAAAGAACATAATTCATGTCCGTATTGTTCAACAGGCTAAAACTAATAATAAGAACAGGTCATATATAACTGAATCACTTTGCTGTGCAGTAGAAATTAACAGGACATTGTAAATAACCATACTTCAATAAAATAAATTTTAAAAGAACAATTCCCCACAAATGTGTAGACATTCATGGTTCATTAACACTCCCTGGACTTGATTCTCTTTAACTCATTTTAACAGAAGGACCTCAGGTTCAGAAACCCTGCCCAAGAGCTTAGGACTTTTAAGAAGTATGGTCAGAACCTGACTTCATACCCCAAAACTGAAATTGCCTCATCACTCTGCCTCTAAAGTTGTAGAATGTGGGGACATTCTAGCTCTTAGAAGAGTAGAATTGGGTTCTTACCCTACAGCAGGGCCCAATCTTACTGAAACAGCCATATCTCCAGCCCATCAGGGAGATGAGGGTAGCTGCAATGAGCACCTAGGAGAAGAGGGATGTGTGTTAAGAAGAGATTAGGTAATTTACATCTCTAACTGCCACCTAAGAAACAGAGTGGTTGGACATCTCACCTGGACTTAGTTATCCTGTATTTCCCAGAGGGTTTGGCTTTGACTGTCAGGACCCAATTTTGAATGACTAGCCTGATATGAATCAATGGGCGGCAGCATTCACACCCAGCCTACCTAGTCCAAAATCCAGCAAACTTTGATCAGTCTTCCTAGGGTCTTCTATCCCTTGGAGTTGCTATAGATTCACAATCAGTTTGTTAGTTCAAACTTGTTTTCAAGAAATTACAAAACTCCTTCCCTCACCCCAACTTCGTTGCTCCACTCCTGGGGGACACTTTGGGAATTCACACTCAGGGAACCCTGGACACTTACCATGAGGCCTCCTCCCCAGAGCCCAGAGCCCAGCATGGCATGCCTGCCAATGAGGCCCCTCAACAGGTAGGTCACATCCCAGTTAGGAAACAGGAGCAGTGTGTTGGCCACAGCAGCAAACAGGGCTGTAGTCCCGAGGCTCAGCCCCAGAATGCGGGAGCAGGTCCGTGAGCATGCCATCACACAGGGAGAGGACAGTGTCCTGGAACCAACGGAAGGAGGGTCATGTAGCTCTGTTACTGGGACTGACAGGTAGGGGAAACCCTCAGAGCACAGGGCAGGGTGTCATCCTCTTGCTTTAAAAGTTGTCATTTTCAAGGTGTCCACTGTCACTACTTTCCTTCAACATTGTACAGGGGATCTTTTCCAGTGCAATAAGAAAATAAAAAGCAACAAAAGCCACAGATACGAAAGAAAGAAGTAAGAATGTCATTAGTCACAGGTAACATGATTATCTGCATGGAAAATTATAAGGAATCTATTAAAAAGTTACTAGAATGAATAGGTGAGTTTAGCAAGGTTACCAAATAAAAAATTAAATACACAAAAATCAATTGTATTTCTATATATAAGCAGTGATAAATTATAAAATTTAAAAGAATATTTACAATAGCATAAAATATTAATAGAAAACACAGATAAATTTAATAAAATCTGTGCAAGACCTGTACACTAAAAATTATAAAACATTGCTGAGAAAAAGAAAACCCAAATAAATGCCGAGATATAACATGTTCACGAACCAAAAGACTCAATATCAATGTAACCTTAGTCAAAATCCTACTAGAGTTTTGTTGTAGAAATTGGCAAGCTGAATCTAAATTTACATGGAAAAGCAAAGAACCTAGATTTTTCAAAACAATTTTGTAAAAAAGAACAAAGTTGGAGGACTTATATCATGTGATTTTAAGACAAATAAAGTGATAGTAATCCCACAGTGAAGTAATGGTGTACACAGACATATGGACCACTGGGACAGACTGGAGAATTCAGAAATAGAGTTATACACATACGATCAAATGATTTTTGAAAAAATATTTTAGTGGGAAAAGGAGAGTCTCTTCAACAAATGATCCTGGAATAATCCATATGTAAAACAAAAATATGTATTTTGCCTATTACTGGAAACCTTTTTCAACATTTAACTTGAACTGGACCATGGATCTAAAACCTAATTCAAATTTTACCAAAAAAAAAAAAAAAATGGAGAAAATCATTGGGATTTTGAATTAGATAAAGAATTTATTAGATAGAATACAAAAAGTACAATCTATAAAAAGTGAAAAACGACTTCAAAATTAAAAATTTTTGCTCTTCAAAACTACCATTCAGGGGAGTTCCCTGGTGGCCTAGTGGTTAAGGATTCTGAGCTTTCACTTCTGTGGCCTGGGTTCAATCCCTGGTCAAGGTACTGAGACTCCTCCACAAGCCATGCGGCATGGCCAAAATCCCCCCAAAACAAAAACACAATAAGCTACTGATACATGCAACAACATCGATGAATCTCAAAGGCATCATGCTAAATGAATGAAGCCAGAAAACTACTCACTGTATGATTCTGTTTATATGGACTTCTAGAAAAGGCAGAACTATAGTCTAGTGATGAGAAGTGGATCAGTGGTTGCCAGGTCCTGGGAACAAAAGAGGGGATTAATATAAGGGACACAAGGAAACTTTTTGAGGTGACAAAAATGTTCTATATCCATATTCTGGTGAATACCACAACTACATATATTGACAAAACTCACCAAATTACTCTTAAAATTTGTGAATTTTATATTTCAATTATATATCAATAAAATTGATTAAAAATTAAAATGTTGTGTCCAGATAGGTTGAAAAATGCCTCCTCTACACCGTTACTTTTAGCCATTTCTCCCTTTTAAGTTTTCGCTGATCTGTGAACTTTTTATGTATATGAATTAGAATAGAACTAGTAGTATTTGGTAGACTCAGGTCAGTGTGAATCTGAAAAAACCTATACCATGACATCTCCAAGAAGTGGTTTGTTGCCACTTTGCAATTCAGTTACATGTCTGTCTCAACTTAAGGCTCTTGACACTCCTCTCCTAACAGACAACTTTGCCCAAATTCAGAAAATATGTGTGGATCAGAGTCTCCACCCCAACCTCTCTTTTACATATAAACATATAACTAAATATATAATATTTCAGAATTAAAGAATTAAGCATAATGTATGCTTAATATTTGCCCTTACTAGTTGTGTGGAATAATTGAACAACATCCATGTAAACACATCTGGTTTATAAAATGGATCCTTGCCACTAAGAAATATTACTATCATCTTCCAGTACTTCCTGTGAAGGACTATCCTAAATTTTAATTTTATCATACCTTTTTTAAAACGGTTTTACAAATTATGAACTTAATTAAAAATAACCAAACCACCTTAATTAGCCTAGGATTTTTTATTTGTCCAGACTTCATCTTTTATAGAGACTGGTGTCAGACACAGCACTGAGAAGGCCATTTGGGTGGGGCTGAAGGGGTGGGGTGTTCTTGTGCTGTCAGCCCCCACCTCTCACATTCCCCAGCCTCCACAGTCCTTGGTGATCTTTACTTCCCCTAATCTCAGAGCCCAAACATCTCAGCAGCTCCTCCCAGCTGGGAATTTCCCAATGCAATTGCTAATATTTTATTGGGATGAGTTGCCTTCACCATGTGCCCTCTCCACTGGGTTTTTGCTCTGTAAGCCATGTTTCTCACAGTGAGTAAAATAACTTGTCCGTGATGAAAGCAAGTTCAGATCTCTGTGGAGGGGGGGGGGCACACGTTGGAGCAGTTGGGGGTAGGATGTGGAGGAACAGTGGCCCTTTCCCCAGAGATACAAGGGGCCTAGAGGGAAGGGGGGTCACCAGGGATCTGGAGGGATGGCGTGTCCCTTCCCCTACGCCATCCCCTAGCGGACCACCACAGAGCCATCTTTTCCTGAAGTAGTCCTCCAAGCTGATATGGTACCAGCTATTTCCTCTCCAGGTTTGTGGTCAGGAGACAGGGCACCTGTAAAGTAACAACTCCTCACCCCCAACAGCTTGTGATGCAGCCTCCCGCCGGGCTCTCAGTATGTGTCTCTAATCCAGGGTGAACTAACCAATCCAGGCTGTTAGCAAGTTAACCTACGCACCTCCCAGATGACTGACATTTGGTTAGGGGCCCAAGAAAGGACTGGTGTGTGGCTGGACTTGGAGGCATGCTCTTTGGCTGGGAGAAACTTCTGTTCAGGAATGCCTTCAGCTGCCTTTGAATCATTCCAGCTATGAGTAGTAAGGCCTGTCTAGACATAGATCACTGACATGGACAAATCCCTAATCTCTTCCATGGCCTTATTTCCAATCTGGAGTTTTAGAAGGGAAACTAGGGGCTTCCCCGGTGGTCCAGTGGCTCAGACCTCGCGCTACCAATGAAGGGGACCCAGGTTCCATCTCTGATCAGGGAACTAGACCCCACAGGCCAACTGAAAATATCCCTCATGCCACAAGGAAGATCAAAGGTCCCACGTGCTGCAACTAAGACCCGGTGCAGCTAAATAAATAAATAAGGAAAAGGAAAAGATATGAACATGCAGAGGAAAACTAAATTGAGCATGGCCTTTAGGATGAGTGGGATTCAGAGGATCCTGGATGTCCTACTTCTCTGCTAAAAGCACTTGTGCTGCTGCTGCGTCTCACAGGGCAGTGGCTCAGTTTGAATTTCACTTCCTCCCTCTGACTTTGTTCCTCTAGAAATCACAATATTTTTAGAGATGCTTCCACAAATGTAAGCCAGGAGATTAGCAAAGAGTTTGGCTAATTTGATATGTGAAGAGACAAGCTGGGTCATAAGGTAAAACTTTACAACCAGTCTCTAGGTGAGACCCTGATCTAAACTGAGATCTGGAGTAAGTGAACAACTCATTAACTAGATGTCTGGGTAACAGTTTTAAGTGATCAGTTAAGTCATATAGAAGAGCTTGTAAATTCTTTGTGTCTCTAGATCTACCTTATTACTTAGCCAGCCTTTTTATCATTCTTTCATCAGTCAAATATTACATTAAGTGACCAGTCTGCCAAGGTACTATTCACACTGGTGAACCAGAGACAGCCTCTTCTCTTGACTAACTTAAAGTCTGTGGGGACACTAACCAGGCAATGGGCAAGTACTGTGCAGAACTGTCCAACTGAAGGTGTGATGGAAGCACCAGAGGATTGCCTGATCCTGCCTGCAGACGCAATGCAGAGCCTCCTGGAGGAAGTGCTATCCAAGCTAAAACTTGACAACAAGGTATTAGATGGGCAAAGTTGGGAAGGGAAAAGTATTCTAAGCATGTGTAAAGGTCTGAAGTTGATAGACTGAGGCAAAGAGATGTTAAATTGCCTGAAGTCACACAGAGCTTAGCGGCTGAGGCAGGTATCCTCTGGTTAGAAGTTCGTGCTCTTGAAGGCTAGACCAAACTATTAGCTGGCCACCCCCTCATTGGCCCCTTTCATTTCTGCTTACCTGCTTCCAGTGGCAAGAATCAGGATGAGAGAGAGAGAACCTGGAAAAGGGCTCCGTGTTCAGAGTGGGCTTAAACTCCTGTGGCCTCAGCTGGGACTCCTGCAGGGTTGGACTGCAGGCTGTTCTTTCAGGACTCCTACAGAGGGGCAGGGAGGCACTGTTTATATGTGGAGGTCACCCAGGCGGGTGCATGGTGTGGAGACATGCCCCCACAACACTGCCTACAGGTCTCCATAAAGGAAGCTTTCCTCTTCCTGAAGAGCCTTCTCCTGATGACCCACCCTCTGCTCATTTTCATGTGACACTAAGAAAGGAACCAGGAGGCATGGCCTCGTGAGCTAAAATATCTTAGTGAGTCAGAGGATGGTACCCGTGAGAAATATCTTAGCTTCCTCTCTTTCCCAAGCGGCAACAGTGTTTCACACACTATCTGCCCATATTTGTTTCACTCTCTGCAAAGTTTGGGCTCTTTGAAAAAAACAGCACCAAGCAGGGCAGCCATCAGTTTTTTCCTTATCACCTTCCATACTTTGCTCTTTGCTGTGCTTCCTTTAATAGCTTTTTAACCTTCCAACTTTCAAGCTCCAGGCCACCATCATCTTGTACCACCATTTTAATAATATAACAGAGTGTTTGCTGTTAGGTAAGCCATTTGGTTCGGAACAGAAATACCTTCTAAAATCTGAATGATATCTGACAGTCTGCCATCAAATCATTTTAATTGCCTAACTATGAAATGTTCTGGTAGCTCAGCGCCTGCAGTGCAGGAGACCCCAGTTTGATTCCTGTCTTGGGAAGATCCCCTAGAGAAGGGATAATCTACCCACTCTGGTTTTCGTGGGCTTCCCTGGTGGCTCAGATGGTAAAGAATATGCCTGCAATGCGGGAGGCCTGGGTTTGATCCCTGGGTTTGGAAGATTCCCTGGAGAAGGGAACAGCTACCCACTCCAGTATTCTTGCCTGGAGAATTCCATGGACAGAGGAGCCTGGTGGGCTACAGTCCATGGTTTCCCAAAGAGTCTGACAGGACTGAATAACTTTCACTTTCTTTCATGAAATGTTCTAACAGACACTGTATGTAAAATCCTTTTGCTGAAATCCAAGAAAAGGAGAGGACTTGCATCTTATGCCGTGAGAGGACTCTTGCCTCTTATTTCTCAAAATAAACTTGTGAGGTAGGTATTTTGTAAATGAGAAACTGAGGCCCAGATTATTATTCAGTGAACTATGCAAGTTCACATAGCTAATAGGTATTTGTAGCAGAAATTGAGACCCATATCTCTTAGATGCCAAAGCACTTTATCAATGACTCCAAGAAGCTAGTTGGAATTTGGGTTAGGGAAAACAAAATCTCAAACATCAATGTGTGGGGCTATAGAGTGTAGCTAGATGACATAGGATCATTTCCCCAAACTCACTCACTGTTACTCTGAGCAAGTCAATTTTCTCTGGACTATAATCTCTTCATATGCATGATGAAGCTAATCTAATACTTATTTTACTTGCTTTAGGTCTGTTGTAAAGATCTAACGAGATAGTTTGTGAATGTGTTTTATAAGGTGAATAATGCTTGTTCTTAATATAAAGTTTTCTGAGTCCTCAGCCTAGTATCTTCTATCGAAATTCAATTCTCTGGGTGACATAAGAATTCACTTGGGCTCTAAATGATTCCCTTTTATCATGAAAATGGAAACTGGATCCTATTTAATGAACTTTCCCAGGGTGGTTTACCAGCTTTTGTGTCAGGCACATATACATCTGCATGCGCAGAAATTTCATAGAAAGCATAGAAAGCTCATATACAGTTTAAGGGAATATTAATAACATAATTTTTCTTCTCATACATATGCACCAAGGGTTTTCTCAGTATTGTTTTCATCATTAGTAGAATCTCTGTGCATTTACTCCAGCCAGTGCATGAATTAATTCATTAATTAAGTGACTCCTGAGTTCCTACTGTGTTCTAAATTCTATGCTAGATTCTGAGTCTACAGAGCAGAGTAAGATACAGCAGCCCCTGCCCTCATGAATCTCAGATGTGGGGGAAGAGGCATATAAATAGCATAGGTAAGTAAAAATGAAGTGGAAAGTGGCAAAGATTTTTTAAACAGGACATGAAAAGCAGGGACCATAAAGAAAAAGACTGATAAATCAAACTTAAAATCTTAAGAACCACTTTTCAAAAGACATTAAGAGAGTGAAAAAGCAAACTACAGATAGGAAAAAACATTCACAATATATATATCTGACAAACGTCTCATGCCTGGAATTATAAAGAATTCCTACAAACCAGTGAAGAAAATGACAAAAACCAGTAAAAACTGGGCAAATGACTTGAGCAGACACTTCTCAAAAAGGATCACCAAATGGCCAATTAGTATATGAAAAGCTCTAACTCATTAAGAAAAGGCAAATTAAAACCACAATGGATACTACCAAACACCTACTGGAATGGCTTAAATTAAAAATATTGGTAAGAATGTGAAGCAATTGGAATGGAACATTGCTGGTGGGAGTGTAAATTAGTATGACCACTTTGGTTAACTGTTTGGCAATATGATTTACCAAATGAAATATTCACCTACACTATGACATAGCAATTCCCATCCTAGGTATTCCCAAAGGAAAATGCTGGAATTTGACTTTAACACCTTAAACTTAAAACTAACCTAAACACCTAAGTTTGGGCTGGTGAGGGCAGTTTAAGTCTTTGTTCCTTTGGGTAAATTTGTGACAAATAATTCAATGATTAATCTTATGAACAAGACCCTTCTTTTAGAAACTATATACTTGCTATAAACAATTATACTAAGGCCAGCTTAGGTCAAATTCTTCATTCCCTTTTGGTAAGACCTTTATGGTCACAGAGTCCTGGTCACTGCCATGATAGAACTAAACATTATCTTTTTGCAGATATGTTAATGACATTTGAAGCTGGTTCTATTAGAGGCAGAGGTACTAATTATTCCTTGGTTGGTGATACTTCTACAGAGAAGCAAAGGGGAATCCAGGGAGGGCACAAATTAATGGGGCCTGGGTGGGAAAACTATTTGCCTAATGCCATAAAAGGCTTCCCAAGGCTGAAAGGCTTTTGAAAACAGAATAGATGTCCCATCCTTGATTGGAGGTGGGATTTGAGCAAGGAATAGAGGAAGCTGAGAAGATGCAATTCACTGGTAGAAGGAAAAAGGAAAAGACTACAATCAGGCCAGTCTTTCCCAAATAAGAGTGACAGATTCATCAGCGTCCTTGTGGGTGGGTATCAGCCTCCACTGACAGCTGACTAAATAAGGAAGCACATTTTCCTTCATTGGAGAGGGAAAAAAAAAAGGAAGATAAGAAATGTTGAAAGAGTTGCCATTTATACCAGTTCACTGAAGAGGAAGTTTGGGGTTTTTCCCCTTTTTTTCTTCATTAGTATAAAAATGTAACAAATACTCAAATTAACCTTCCATCTCCAACACCACACTGAAACTGTTCTTAGTCTCCAATGATTTCTTGTCTATTGAACACGTGACCCTAGACAGAGTTAGACAGTTGGCGACTAGATGCTTCTTGAACATTCTCACTTTTGGCTCACTTGACAGTTCACTCTGGTGTTTCTCCTCCTTCACGGGTCACACAGCCTAGACTGCGCCTCTTCATGTTGGTAGTCTCTAGGCCTGGGTTCTGGGCCATCTTCTCTTTCTCCCTAGTGACCTCATTCTTTCTCATGGTTCTAAACTTCATCTGTAACGCTGATGATTTCTAAAATCTCTTCAGTTCGGTTCACCTCTCCTCAAGCATCAGAATCATGTGTTCAACATGCTGTACTACACCTGCACTTGGAAGTGCCACAGTGAACACATCCAAAATGATTTTTCCACAAAATCTGCTTGATCCACCAGTCTTTCTGTCTCAGGAATGACATCCCTACCTACCCACTGCCCTGAATATTGTCAAAGCTGTATATTGTCACCCTGCTTATTTAACTTATATGCAGAGTACATCATGAGAAATGCTGGGCTGGAGGAAGCACAAGCTGGAATCAAGATTGCCAGGAGAAATATCAATAACCTCAGATATGCAAATGATACCACCCTTATGGCAGAAAGTGAGGAAGAACTAAAGAGCCTCTTGAAGAGAGTGAAAAAGTTGGCTTAAAGCTCAACATTCAGAAAACTAAGATCATGGCATCCAGTCCCATCACTTCATGGCAGATAGATGGGGAAACAGTGGACACAGTGGCTGGCTTTATTTTTCTGAGCTCCAAAATCACTGCAGATGTTGACTGCAGCCATGAAATTAAAAGACACTTGCTCCTTGGAAGGAAAGTTATGACCAACCTAGACAGCATATTAAAAAGCACAGACATTACTTTGCCAACAAATATCCATCTAGTCAAGGTTATGGTTTTTCCAGTGGCTATGTATGGATGTGACAGCTGGACTATAGAGAAGGCTGAGCACCAAAGAATTAATGGTTTTGAACTGTGGTGTTGGAGAAGACTCCTGACAGTCCCCCTTGGACTACAAGGAGATCCAACCAGTCCATCCTAAAGGAGATCAGTACTGGATGTTCATTGGAGAGACTGATGCTGAAGCTGAAACTCCAATACTCTGGCCACCTGATGAGAAGAGCTGACTCGTTTGAAAAGACTCTTCCAACAACACAAGAGAAGACTCTACACATGGACATCACCAGATGGTCAACACCGAAATCAGATTGATTATATTCTTTGCAGCCAAAGATGGAGAAGCTCTATACAGTCAGCAAAAATAAGACCAAGAGCTGACTGTGACTCAGATCATGAACCCCTTATTGCCAAATTCAGACTGAAATTGAAGAAAGTGGAAAAAGCTACTAGACCATTCAGGTATGACCTAAATCAAATCCCTTATGACTATACATTAGAAGTGAGAAATAGATTTAAGGGACTAGATCTCATAGAGTGCCTGAAGAACTATGGACGGAGGTTCATGACATTGTACAGGAGACAGGAATCAAGACCATCCCCAAGAAAAAGAAATGCAAAAAAGCAAAAATGGCTGTCTGAGGAGGCCTTATAAATAGCTGTGAAAAGAAGGGAAGTGAAAAGCAAAGGAGAAAAAGAAAGATATACCCATTTGAATGCAGAGTTCCAAAGAAGAGATAAGAAAGCCTTCCTCAGCGATCAATGCAAAAAAATAGAGGAAAACAATAGAATGGGAAAGACTAGAGATTTATTCAAGAAAATTAGAGATACCAAGGGAACATTTTATGCAAAGATGGGCTCAATAAAGGACAGAAATGGTATGGACCTAACAGAAGCAGAAGATATTAAGAAGAGGTGGCAAGAATACACAGAAGAACTGTACAAAAAAGATCTTCACGACCCAGATAATCACCATGGTGTGATCACTCACCTAGAGTTAGGTATCCTGGAATGTTAAGTCAAGTGGGCCATCACTACAAGCAAAGCTAGTGGAGGTGATGGAATTCCAGTTGAGCTATTTCAAATCCTGAAAGATGATGCTGTGAAGTGCTGTACTTAATATGCCATCAAATTTGGAAAACTCAGCAGTGGTCACAGGACTGGAAAATGTCAGTTTTCACTCCAATCCCAAAGAAAGGCAATCCCAAAGAAGGCTCAAACCACTGCACAATTGCACTCATCTCACACGCTAGTAAAGTGATGCTTAAAATTCTCGAAGTCAGGCTTCAGCAATACGTGAACCATGAACTTCCTGATGTTCAAGCTGGTTTTAGAAAAGGCAGAGGAACCAGAGATCAAAATGCCAATATTTGCTGGATCATCAAAAAAGCAAGAGTTCCAGAAAAACATCTATTTCTGCTTTATTGACTATGCAAAAGTCTTTGACTGTGTGGATCACAATAAACTGTGGAAAATTCTTAAAGAGATGGGAATACTAGACCACCTGACCTGCCTCTTGAGAAATCTGTATGCAGGTCAGGAAGCAACAGTTAGAACTAGACATGGAACAATAGACTTGTTCCAAAGAGGAAAAGGAGTATGTCAAGGCTGTATATTGTCACCCTGCTTATTTAACTTATATGCAGAGTACATCATGAGAAATGCTGGGCTGGAGGAAGCACAAGCTGGAATCAAGACTGCCAGGAGAAATATCAATAACCTCAGATATGCAGATGACACCAACCTTATGGCAGAAAGGGAAGAACTGAAGAGCCTCTTGAGGAAAGTGAAAGAGAGTGAAAAAGTTGGCTTAAAGCTCACCATTTAGAAAACTAAGATCAGTGCATCCAGTCCTATCACTTCATGGCAGATAGATGGGGAAACAGTGGAAACAGCAGCTGACTTTAACTTTTCTGGGCTCCAAAATCACTGCCGATGGTGACTGCAGCCATGAAATTAAAAGACGCTTACTCCTTGGAAGGAAGTTATGACCAAACTAGACAGCATATTAAAAAGCAGTGACATTAGTTTACCAATAAAGGTGCATGTAGTCAAGGCTATGGTTTTTCCAGTGGTCATGTATGAATGTGAGAGTTAGACTATAAAGAAGGCTGAGAGCTGAAGAATTGATGCTTTTGACCTGTAGTGTTGGAGAAGACTCTTGAGAGTCCCTTGGACTGCAAGGAGATCCAACCAGTCCAAACTAAAGGAGATCAGTCCTGGGTGTTCATTGGAAGGACTGATGTTGAAGCTGAAACTCCAATACTTTGGTCACCTGATGAAAAGAGCTGACTCTTTGGAAAAGACCCTGATGCTGGGAAAGATTGAGGGCAGGAGAAGGGGACGACTGAGGTTGAGATGGTTGGACGGCATCACCGACTCGATGGACACTGTTTGGGTGGACTCTGGGAGTTGGTGATGGACAGGGAGGCTTGGCGTGCTATGGTTCATGGGGTCGCAAAAAGTTGGACATGAATGAGCGACTGAACTGAACTGATGCTGGGAAAGATTGAGGGCAGGAGAAGGGGACAATAGAGGATGAGATGGTTGGATGGCATCACCGACTTGATGGACATGGGTTTGGGTGGACTCCAGGAGTTGGTGATGGACAGGGAGGCCTGGCGTGCTGCAGTTCATGGGGTCACAAAGAGTCAGACACGACTGAGCAACTGAACTACTGTGACGTATTCATTGGACTGCCAACGTCAAATATAGAACCTTACTTTCCTTACAAGGCTAGCCAACCCAACAATTTCATGAACAGTTCAGCCAACGTTCATAGAGCTTTTATCATGAATGTTCAACATACAACTAAGGGTAGAGAAGAAGCTAACAAACATCACCCTTGATAATGGAATGACAAACTAACCTTTGTCAGTCAACACTAGTGTCCTCAACATGAGAACATGAGGGCAAGCAAACCTGAATTATACTAACAAAAGTATCAACAGTACCCAGTCTTACCTCACAAAAACAATAAAGCAAAAAAACTAATACTGAAAAGTTTTTGATTTTATTTCCAAGATCAAATATTACAACAGGACATTTACATGTATTTATAAAAAAATGCAGCAGTTGAATTTATAGATCAGAGGTTTCCTTGAGTTTGGTCCCTCTCTCAGCACAGTGAGCTGATGTCTTTGAAAGACTCCCCTCCCTCCCCCACCCCAAATGTCCCACCGCCCCCTCCCCAATTCAAGTTGCAGTATCAATATAAAGTAACTGGGTACAACACAGCAAGAATATTCACAATTTGGTACAGCCAAAACCAGAGGATCACCAAGAGAAAGATCCTCATTTTAGAAATTATTTACCTATAGACTATGTGTATCTATAGATATATCACACCCAGTTATTTAAGATTTCCCTGGTTTTAGAGCAAGTGGAAGTTCCATTGAGTCTTAGCCAGCAGTTACAGCTCTGCTTTATCTAACAGCACGTTTTTCTCCTGCTACAAGTGTATATTTTCTATGGTCTCCTTATGTCTTCAAATTTAAGGCTTTCCCTAGCACCTTTATTATCTCTTACTAGATATACAGGAGGGTCTTTCAAGTGTCTTGAACAAAAAAATTTAGTGGATGATCCTGTTGTCCCTTTCTCACTGGTCCCAAAGCCTTCTCCCCACTCTTGAGAACTGCAGAAACAAATGATCTCTCCTAGCACCATGGGATTAAAGCCCTGAAAATTGAGAACTATATGTTATGTGCATTTTAGGGAGCACTTGCCAGAAACACTACAATAGGAGCACTGTCTCTGTCCATTACCTTCTTGGATTCAATAACCAAATTATAGTACAGATTAAATTTAGAGCTTGCCCTGCATTAAGAATGCAAATCTCACTGAGACCACCACTTTATCCAGAATAAGTTGAGTATACAAACATCCCAGGGAATTTCTAAATACCGTTAGAAACTGCTTGAGAACACTAAAGCAAATACCCTAAGTTGACTTCACTCAAGTCCCCAACCCACCCCCGTCCCTATCCCCAAATTCCATTCCTTGATTAACTTCTCCGAATAAGATGGGAAGTGAGGTTTGGAAAATGACATGAAAAATGCTGAAAAAACACAATAGTGAGTGAGGACACCAGAATTGGACATTCCAGATGATTCAAAACGCAGTTAAAACTGAACTCATACAAAGCATGCAGAGAAGCCTACAAACACTCCTGAGAGTTTCCATGGAACAATCAATACCTACTTTCTTTCTTAAAGGGTTAAAATAATAATAAAGACACCAGATGCTTAGAAGCTGTTAACAATCAAAAGGAAAACCGTTCTAAAAAAAAAAAAAAAGATTCTTAAAGGAGTGAATAAAATTATTTCTAAGATTCATGCCAAAGCTTGGCTGGAAGCCCCTCAAAATCCAAGTATCATATTAGCATCAACTGGTACTCATTTCTCTACAACTAAGACTAGAGGATTATCTCACAGCTTTACTGTCTGTCTCCCAGCAAGTTTTAAATAGTCTTTCCAAATCTAAGGGACAAACCTAGGAAAGGAACAAGGCCCAAGTCCCCAAATAGGTAAGATAAACAGCCACTACAAGCTTACTACTAATTAGTTGAAATGTGGAGGTCACATACTACTTTCATTCTAATTAGCAGGTAAGAGGGGATTTTCTGGTGGCAGTGGTCACTCCATCAGAGGTTTAACTTACAGGGCAGTAAATTATCAAAAAGCTACTGTTAAGAGCATATGATTAGTGTCAAAAACCTATTTATATTTTGAATCACACCATTTATTGATATTTTTCATTATTAAGAACACAGAAGCTTGAGAAAAGCATACTATAAAACCATTTTGTTGAAAACAGAAAGATATCCAACTGAGCATCAACATTCCAATGTCATTAACTTGAATATGTCCTGGTGACACATACTAGAGTCAGCGACCTTGACAGAAGAAAATAAAAATAAAAATAAAGCAGAATGGCAGGGAATGGTTTCAGATCAAGAATTTCTCTCCCTTATCAGTTAAGATGTCCATATTGAGTCTAAGAATAAAACAAACAGAAAAGACTTTAAGGAGGGGAGAATTCAATTCCAAGTCGGAATTTATCTAATGATTTGAAATGTTTACCATTTTATCTACCATGTCTAATAAATGAGTGATTCATGGTGGCCAAGTTAGATTAATAATTTCTTTCAATGGAGATAAAATTTTTCTTACATTAAGTAGAGCTTATTCATCCAATCTATAAACCCAAGTGACTTTATAAGGGATACAAAATCTTAGGGCATTTTGATCTCTGTAGAGGAAACACTATTAAGCAAACAACAAAAACTTGTTGTTTGGTGCAACAGAATTAAGTACAGCAAGGCAAATGTCCATATTTATAGATTAACATGTGATTGTTCTCAGGCAAAATACTACCATCAGTATTTATATCTCTAATCCTACAAGTAAGTCTGGTTATCTTTTGAAAATGCTTTACAGAAATACTAAATTATGTTTTATTAAGGTAGTTCATATTAGATTGCTCAACTCTATTTTGAGATCATATGTCAAAGAAAAGCCTGTACCAAAACTATTATGTTTATGAGAAAGACTGAGATTCTAAGCAATACAACAGCATTCCATAAGCTAAAGAAGAGGGAAGGGTGTTATGGACTAGCTATTCTATATTTGGAGTAAGGATTCTTAGAGAGAGAAAGAGAGTTATAAAAAATGATGCTTGCCTCAAATTCTTTCCTGGTATATTAATTTATAAAAAATGAAAAGTTATTAAAAGTCAGAAATTGAATTTCTTAAACATCCAATTTCATTAAAAATCATGACATTTTCTGAGAATAGATGTCAAAAATCAAGAACAGAATGGAAACGTAAAAGAGAAAGTTGTATTAAAAGATTTTCTAATTAAGGGTCTCATTACACTCAATAATTTAATCACACGATCACTTCATGGGAAAACTACCAAGGTCATCATAATCTCTACTAAAAAAAAGGCTAAGATTCTAATCTGTCTCTCTAGCAGGACTGACACATAGGTGAATCAAAGACTGAAGCAGCCATCACTGAAATATAGAATTTCGACATATCAGGAGAAATCACCACACTGCCTTGGTGTTCTCTGTTGGTTATTTTCAGTACGACAGAACATTTTTACTAGTCTAAAATGTATACAGTGCAATACTAAGTTTCATGGCAAGACAGTAAGTAAAATGCTAAGCAAGGCAAATAAATGAAGTTAAATATTCATAGTACACAGCTGTCCTTAAGTGGCCTTTTCATCAAGGCTTATGTTTACTGGAAAACCGCTATGTTCACCAGAAGGGTGGGTTCTTCTTACTCTCATTTAATTTTACACAAGACTTTACTTACTCATCAACCTCCATTTCATGATTTACTATTGAGTAATACTTCTGAGTACTATTTACTCTCTCTCTGGCTCTAAATGAAAGAGATCCAGAAAGACAGAATGACACCATGGAGATACACTCTATGCGATAAGAAATATTTTAAAAAGTCAATCTAATTTGATCCTGAAAAACTTGTTTCTGTCAAAACCAAGTGAATTCTACAATTTACACAAATCAATTTCCCAACAACTGCTTAGTCAGTAAACTGCTTTGTTTAAGCAAACATACAGAATTAAATTTAACTCTGGCTGTCAGTGAAATAACTGGTTATTATTACATTTTAGTTACACTCAACACTGATTAGGAAAACAGCATTAAGTTTTAATTAAAAGTAATGAATTCTGTTTAAAGGATCATTAGTAAACCTGAAACTATTATACTCTCCTTCTGGAGATTTCAATCATCACAGTATGGGTAGATCAAGTTACTGGACAAATGAAACCTGAACACAGGGGAAAAAGCAAGAACTGATTAACAAGAGTACTTTTAATTACTCTAGGGATAACATATAAATAGAAGGAAGAGACTCAGAGCATTAAATTTTGGAGTGGAGAGGATTCAGAGATAGTATAATTCAGTGGTCTACAATCTGTGGGTTCCCAGAGTCTCTGGAAAGGATCTGCAATTCCACATGCACACCTAAGGAATTAAGGATTTTAATACTTAACCCCACAACTCCCCACCACTGCCGGATTTTAACACTACAAGCCCTTTTACTTGAACAGACTAAGAACTATTGATCTAGTCCAATTCTCAACAGAGAATTAGAAGCACAGATGTAACCCAAGTATACTTTATACCTAATATAGTGCCCCTTCTGCATATAATACATTTAATGTGTACCTGGGAAGAGAAATTAAATCTTCCCTTTCCAGTAGGAAGTGGCTCCCTCTGGTATTTTCCTAAATGTCCAAATGAGATCCCTGCTGGCTTAAATCTTTAATCCTGGGATCAATAATTCTTTCCTAGTTATGCCTTATTGTTAAATGTCACACCCTAAATCTAGCAGTTTCAAAAGCTGGTACTAAAGAATACAGGGGAATCAAAAGAAAATGTGAGCAAGTGTTTGCCACTTTTCAGTTTTATTTCCCTAAATAAAACTTACACTATTCTTTACCTTTTCTAAACTTCTACTATAATTATGGTTCAGACTCAGGAAAGTAAGCGTTTACATGTTCTATTATCTCATGTGTAGTGTGTCTCTCCAACTGGATAAAACAGGCAGGAAGCAGATCTTAGATTAAGATTTTTCCAACTTTGATTAAGGACTCAAATAACTGTTAACTTACAGAGTCAAGGAAGTAGAATTTTATAGAAGATTTGAAAATACACAGAATGTTCAACAATCTAATATAGATGGGATATAGAAAAGATAATTCTATCTTTGCTGAAAAATAGTAAAAAAAAAAAAAAAAAGTTGATAAAATTCTTTTTTATCCTTTCCATTTTTTCTTGGCAAATAGTGCCATAGTTATTTTCCTTTCACATTTTCATCAGTGCATCATTTTTAAAGAACAATTAGTAATCAGCCCCTGAAAATAATGGTGTAAATAAGACTATATAGGCATAGTACAAATCTCACAAGCTTTAAGGAAACAAAACCAAAAAACTTACAGAGCCAAACAATGAGAAGATAACCTTTTGAACAAATTGATTTCTGTTGGAGACCACAGCACGGGAGTGAAAAAAAAGCATGAATGCCAACTCTGATTTTGCCACTTACTAGCTATGACATCCTGAACAAGTTCTCTAAACTTCAATTTTTTTCCTTATCTATAAAATGGGGGAAATATGCATTTTGTGGAGTTCTTAGGGAGACTAAAGGAGAAAATGCACATGAAATACGTAGTATTTGTTAGTTACTCAAAATTACTTTCCTGTTCTTCCCCTGTTTGGCTATTCTCTTCTCTGGTCCCTTCATAAATCAAATTCAAATGATTTCCTGTTACTTTCCTCCCTACTAATTTTCATTTCATCTCCCTATATTTGTCTTCTGTCATTTAGTCTCATCAAACTCTATCTTGTTCTTTTCCTTCCTACCTTTTAAGGTCTCTTTCAAGCTATTTCCTATACCTAAGAGGAGTGACTATTTTTACCTAATCTTACTAACTTCATTTTATCTATTCAATAAAACCTCTCTTCCAAAGAGCTACGGAATTTGCAGAGGAAATAAGACTTACTAATAAAAGTGGATTAAGTTCTTGCACAAAGCACAATCCATACTCTTCCTGTGTACAATTCCATAATGCCTTCCTTGTGGGCTTGTATACCAAACCCAGGATAATTACACTCCTGCCTCAAAATAAAATCCTCTACATCTTGAACTCTAAAAACCCCTGTTTTATTTAAGTTGGATCAATATCTCATGCCCCATCTCTTTGATATGCTTACTTGTATCACTTTGATGTGGTCATCTCATAGCAATCAAAGTTGAAAAAGTTACTTTAGTTTCTTGTATGTGGATATGCCAGAGCTGAGCTTATCAGAAAGAACTACATCTTATCATTAATGAACATGTTGTCTTAAGGTTTCTAGATATGTTTTACAAAGAGAAACTAGTAGGTAAAAGAATGAAACAGAATCCTATGGGGAAAATTCTTGACTTCATATTTTTAACAGATTTGGACTTTAGCTGTGACTCTGCTGAGAGTGGAGACAGGTGCCATCACAGCACCAAAGCTGAGCATAACATCACCTCTTACCCTGTGCCTCCCTGAATTTTCAGATTTTTGACCTTGTCTATGACCAATAGTTTTTTTACCCCCTAATGCACCTTTGTATATAGCTCTGTTCTTCAGATAGCAAGTATATTATCCAAGTTCAGAGAAATAATTGAGGAATTAACATGAAAACCATGCTTCCTCAATGAATCAGAAGCTGCTAGTTAGCCTCGAAAGCCTATGAAAATACACCAAAGTGGTATTACTCAGTCACCAATCTAAAGAGAGAACTTTGACTCAAGGTATAAATGAAATTGTAATTATATAAATATATTTATAAATATTTATACAATTATATACTTATACATAAGCACTTACACAGACTTAGAAAAAAATGTAAGAACATCAATTCAAAAGGACTCACTGAAGAATAAACAGAATTTTCCATGATTTCCTTGAGGACATACATAACTCATTCTTTAGGGAGGGTCCCTCAAAGTCCAACCATTAGAAACCGTATTCTCTAATTGTGTACTAGCAACACACAAGCATCTTTTTTCTTTTTTTTTAAATCCCCCAGTTGCCAGGAGAGTGATCTTAAAGTAGATGGGAACCTAAAGGTCTCTGAGTAATAGCAATTTATTTTCCTCAAGTAGAAGAATCAATCAATCTAAATCCCAATCAACAAAATAGGTTCACTCTGTATTATGATTTTATAACAAGTTAAAAGTTCTGATTTTGCCACCAGAATTACTGCTACCCGTTCAGAGGACTCTAAAGCTCAAAATAAGAACTGAGCATAATGTGAAGCTGGTAAGTCTAATCGTATTAAATAGATTCAAGATGACCTCTTCTAAATAATACTGAAAAAAGCGCTCACCAACTACAATTTGAATGTGGCTTTTGTTGGCAGAAAAAACCCACACCCGAAAATTACAGGTAATCTTCCCCACTTCCGTTACTAAATGTTGTCTTATGAACTGATTTTAAGGGTCCTCCCCTTAGAACTAAGTTTTCAGTTTTGATACCTTTTGTAAAAAACTGCATGAGGAATTAAGCTCATTCAATCACCAGAGCTTTTCAGAGACAGTTCCAACCAACAGTAAAAGATAAATCATTATTTCTAACCAAAGGAACATGGTTAGCAACTCTCAGCTGCATCTTCTTCTTTTTCCCCTAGGGCATACATTAAGTATGCCTTAAAGCACATAGGACAATCAATAACCATAGTGGTTACAACTACAAGCCATTGTACTCATGATTACTTAACAGCTGCCTTCCTATAGATCACTTGTGGACCCAAACAATGGAAGGGCCAAAGGAACTAATATGCTGTACTGGCAAAAACAGCAAGTACCTTCCTATCCTAGTCATCACAATGTGCTCACAAAATGTCCATCCCAAGATTAGCAGGATCAAGATAGTTTTATAGAGTAATAACGAAGAAAGCTGTCTCAGGCTAGGATACTGAAAGTCACTCCATGCTACTCATCCCAATTTAACACTCTTTCTGTCAATAACACATATCATGGAAATAATTCTAGATGGGAGTTCTTTGAGAAAAACATTAAATATAATGAGCAGTAATTATAAAGGATGCTTTTTCCATGTAAACAAAAGCCTGGGCACTTTGTTATGTGGTATTTCCTACATGAACAACAAAACAAAACATGTGTTAGAGAATTTCTTCTCCCTACTAAAAAAGGGCTTACAAAACAGAGAGGCTGTTCTTACTCTGAATCTAGCCATTCCTTTACCAAAGGAGTCTGAGGAGTAACATTTCATTTGATCCCCTAAAAGTGCTGTGTAAGAGACCACTTATTGGAACACACATTTCCTGCTGCCAGTACTAGGAGGTCTTATCCTAACACTTCCATTTGGTCACCAGATTAGGTTAAGAAAGAGAGAGAAAAGTAGGAAAAGGAAGAAAATGGGAGAGGAGGGAAAAAAAGGGGGAAGGTGAGGCTGATTACAGGAGAGAACAAGAAACAGAAGAGAAGGCAGGTGACTTGCTTGCCCAACTTTGGCTCTATGGTCCTATGAGCCAAAATGCATACTCAGTGACATGGTATCTCACAGAAAAAGGGAAAAAAAGGGGTAAGCTGAGAGAGGTCAGGCCGTGGTGTTAATTTCTTTCCTGTACAAAGACAGTCTCTTGAGGACAAAGGCCTGCCTCCTGTAATGTAATATCATAGTCCAGATGAGAGAGTTTCCTCCGAGGGAAGTTGGTGAGAAGTTCAAAACGTTCATTTGGATATCCTTTAGACTGGACGTGCTTCACCAAAGCCTATGAAAAACAAAGAGAAAAGACAAAGTTGTTAAATGAAAACAAAAGACAGACCATAATGAAGAATTAAAAAATGTTAATATTCATTTTTATATCAGATAAGATTAAGTTTAAGTTATAAAAACTGAAGCTTACTCTTGTAGAAGTGGCAATATAACACTTTGCATGGGGAGATAATAAACCTGTACTCAATAATTAATAGCCAGTAAATGACATTGAATGTTCAGGGTTATTACTGTCTCACCAATAAACAAACCCAATTTCTGTTTATAAGATTATTATCCTCATTTTTAAACATTTCGGTAGTTTTCCTTCCTTCTATTTATCAGGGAAGATATGTCCTTCATCCTATCTTGTCAGTTGTGCACTGAATCCTTTCTTGCCTTCTCAGAAGCCATGCCACCACCACAAACCATTCTTTCACATGTATCTTCAACATCTTTTCTACAGATGCTTCCCATCAGATTTAAACATGCTTAGTCTCTCCTTCAATCATGTTTCTCCCTCTGACTGCTGTTCCCACTCTAGATTCAAAACCAATCTTCTCAAAAAAGTGGTCTATACTTGTATTCATTGTTTCATTTCCCATTCCTTTCCAATTACTAGACTAGGGAGACATTCTAGGTATTAACACCAGAGGCCAGAGGCTGCCTGCATTTGTCACAGTCTTCAAGAGTCTTTTTTTTTTTTTTCCCAAGAGTCTTAATTATTTTCAGCCACAGGAAATGGCCAGGTATAAACACTTGACCCAAGGAGGATTCATTCATAGGCTAATCTAAACAAGTCAGATTCATTCTCTTTTCCAGGAGTTGAAAAACACAGAGGGAAGGCTTATCAGCTGTGGACTCTAGAGGAAAAGCTCTCAATATATCCCTATTACGGATTATGTACAAGCTGTTTTCCAAACAACAGTCACCAGAATAGAGAGAAGAATGGTATGAAGCAGAGCATCACCAGGGGGAAACTCAACAGGACCCACAAGAGAAACACACAGAAAAACAGTCATGGTTTTTTAACTACTTTTCAATTCCAGCTACTAGGAAACCCAGTAGGCCCCACTACAGTCATCAAATAAACCTCACTCCTTTTCCAGGTAATAATTTCAGTTGGGTTTCTATTGCAAGGAGCTATGGAACAGAGAAGCCTTGACTAGAACAGACTATGCAAGTTGCCCAAGATAAGGTGGGAAGGAAATAAAGCAGTGAGAATTAAAAGATTCACCACAGTGAAGTTTCCAGTTCGAGGTAAGACCTAACTAACACCCATATCAAAGAATCATCAAGCTAATTATACCAGTTAGTTTCTCTGCTTCAAGTAAATTAGATATACTTACTAGTAGTTTAGCTTGCTCTGGAAGAGTGATTTGTTCCCTTTTTCCATCTGGATACCGCAACATCAGCTGTGCTTTTGGTCCTAAAGGAAGGGTTAAAAAAAACATATAGCTGTGTGACAGAAGACTAATTTAAACAAATAATTCTCTTCAGTAATATTTAAGTTTTAAGTAAAGGAAGTTTAAAATGTGACCCACCATTTACATCAATGCCCTCCACTATTCCATCTGATTTTTCAGGTGACATCTCCAATATTTCTGAATCCACAACTGGCAACCCTTGGTGGTTTGTGGCTGTTCCAGGCTCAGTTCTGGCAGGGGGCTCAGTCAGTGACCTTCTGTTCTCCTCTTTTCTATGCCCCAAATCTTTGTGGGGAGACTTTCTAGACTTCGCAAGATTCTCTATCTCCTCCTCTTCATCAGAGCCACAAACAGATATGAACTCCTCACTGCCAGAAAAAAGTTCAGATTCAGATTCTTCATCTGAGCGGCTATCCTGTTTTGTCTGTGTGGAATCAAAATGTGTCTCTTGTAAGGAGGCTCTGATGGCAGCTTCTAGCTGACTGTCTTCACTTGCATCTATAAGGCTCTCCTGCAAGATGCAGTCATACAACACGGGTAGAAAGAAAAAGAAAACAGTTAAACCAAAAAAATAATCAAGTCAAATAGGGCATGGGAAATGAAACAGTCAGCTTGCCATTATTATTGTCTGCTGGATGTATCTCTTCTACTAAATTTTAAGCTATTTGAGGGCAACAACTTTGTCTTAAACAGCCAAGTTGGAATGGCATTTTAAACACAAAAATAAAAACTGTCACACCATCTGGCACAATGATTGCAAGCACAGGATTTGGCAGGATGTGGGGTGGGGGAAATCAAAGTGAATAAAATCAAGAAAACAACTTATTCCTTGCCCAGAACAAGCCATGAATTAAGGTTTTAAATATAAAAGTCGAAACATTAGTCTTTAACATGACTAAGCACAAAGAAAGATTATCTTGCTCACTAACCAGCACTGCTTTGGCAGACAGAAGGCTATCTAGTAAATAAATAACTCAAATCTAACAGTCAGATCTTTAACATTCAAAACAAAACAAAATACTGTATAAAAAATATGAAAAAACAACTCTATTTTTCCAAACTTAATTTCAATGAAGGTTCTCACTGTGATCATGAAAAGCGACTTTCAATAGTTCTCCCCATGGAAAAGTCCTAATGTCACAGATTTCACTAAACTTGTTGAGTCACAAAATAGGCATTACTAGGGTGAATCCAAACTATACAAAAAGATTTTTTATGATAGCCAAAAGCTGAACACTGGATATTTTATGATATAAAGGAACTACACTTAATTTTTTGCAGGTGTGTTAGGGATACTGTGATTATTATTATTTTTTTTACTGTGATTATTTTTAAAAAATAAAAAGAATCTTTTATCTTTTAAAGATACATGTCAAAGAATTAATGAATAAAACAATGAATTCTGAGATTTGCGTCAAAATAATTTGCTTCAAAGGATAGGGTATAGCTGAAACAAGACTCACCACAAGTTGTTAATGACTGAAATTAGTTAATGGACACATAGAGGCTCAATAAACTCCTTCTATTCTAAAACTTTCCACAATAAAAAGTGCAGGTTGCTAACAAAAAACTAAAGGAGTTTCAATTTGGCTTACCCTATCTGCCAATAACATAACAAAAAAAAACCTTTTTTTTTAAAAAAATTTTAAGGCAACTTAAGGCTAATTTAGCACCAATAAATAAATAAATAAAAAGGCAAGTAGATGTACCCATGTGACCGGCAATGGCTTAGGTGAACTGTAGGTTTATAATAATGATATCACACAGCATGCAGCTTGATTTTAAAGATTGTCACCATAGTAGATACTGCTGGCTTCCTAGCCAACATTCATTCTCCTCTGATTCCTTACTTACAAGATCCTACTTCTATTTAACTTTGTACTCGAGGCGGATAATATGGTTTTCTTAGTAGTGAATTCCATTGGTTGGTTGTCTAACATTAAACCAACCTTGCATTCCTGAGCTAAAACCCACTTGGTTAAGATGCACTGCTTTTTTATAAACTGCTGAGTCTGATTTACGAAAATTTTGTCAAGAATTTTTGTATCTCTGTTAATGAGGGTTATTAGTTTCTTTGTCTCTTGTTTTCCTTGTAAAACAAAGCTCAGTTTTTGGTTTTGGTTTTGATATCAAGTTAATGCTGGCCTCACAATGAACTGGGCAGTATTTCTTCCTCTTTGGTTTCCTGGAAGAGTCTGTGTAGAATTAGCATTATTTCTTCCTTAATAAAGACATTTACCAGGGAAACCACCCGGGCATAGTTTTCTTTGTGCAAAGTTTTAAACTACAAATTCAATTTAATTAATAGATATATTAATAGGACTATTCGAGTATCTGTCTTTCCTTTAATGAGCTTTAGTAGGTTGTGTCTTTCTAGGAATTTGTCCTTTTTACCTAAAGGGTCAAGTATTTGATGTAATTATTCACTGTATTACTTATTATTTCTTCAGTAACTGTAATATCTATATGGATGGCCCCTCTCCCAACCCTGGAATTGGTAATTTGTGGCTTTTTTCCCCTGACCATCTGACTAAAGGCTTACCAATTTTATTGACTTTTTAAAAAACAAGCCTCTGGCTTCATTTAATTTTTTCTTTTGTTTTCTAAGTTACTGGTTGATCTCTGTTCTTTCCCCTTTTCCTTCTGTGTAGTTTGGGTTTGATTTAATTTTTTCTGTGTGGGTCCTTTTTCATTTCATTTAAGATGGAAACTTAAGTCATTAATTTGAGGCTTTCTTTTTAAATACAGGCATTCAGTTATTTACTTTCTCTGTAAGTGATACTTTAGCTCCAATATTTTTTTTAGCTGCAAGGGAAACTGGTAAATGGAATTTTTTAGTGGGGCATGCTTACTTTTATAGACATAATTAGGATCTTTGCTTATTAAAAGATACCTCAACTGTGCTTGTACAAGCAACTGTGTCCAGCTAAAATAAGCAGAATTCTTTATCTGCGGCTGTTTATCTTTGTAGTAAAGATATCACCTCCTTTCTCCTTGTCCATTAGACTGTGATACTGGGAGCACAGCATCTATACCATAACCACGAGGATAAAGGCCAAAACTAAGGATGGAAGGGGGGGAAAAAAAAAAGAGAAGGAACCTGGTTCCTTGATGACATCCACAGCAGTCAAGTTCTAGACTGCTTTCCTCTGAACTTCTTATTGAGAAAAGATGTCTTCCTTGTTTAAGCTCTTATGTGTTGCAGTTTCTCTTGTACAGAGTTGATTAGAATTTGTTAAGTCAGAGAATTATTTAGTTCAGAAGTGGGGTCTGAGGTACTAATGACCCAAATAAGCCCTATGTAATTGTCCAATTTTATGGCCCCATTCTTTTCCCTACCAAGTTCCTTAACTTTTCTAAGACATTTGGTGAAATATTAAACCAAATTTATGTTGTAATTCAGCAACTTGAAAGCTCAGGCTCTGGATTTTGAAAATTTCAGCCTATGATTGCAAAAGATGAGAAAACTCTCTCAGGGAAATCATAGAAGCTTCCTGGATTTTTTAATGTCTTAAACAAGAATTCTACTTAAGTAAAAATTCATTAGTAATGGAAGTGAGAAAATGAATTCTATACAAACCCTTGGCAAGTACTCATAGCCTCTCCTTAAATGTGCACTTTATTTTCAGTAATAATGAAACAGGAACTGTTTCATTACCGCATGGTACTGGACTACTAAAGTCAGATCCTCTATAATTAATTTCACCCTCACTGCCACAAACCCAAATAGTTCCCATAATCAATAAGAGATTCCCACAACTTTGAAGGTCTCTTATTTAAAACTAATTTTGCTATCAATTATCAAGTAGGTCTGCCTAGTAATAGCATATTATAGAATTAAATATAGAAATAATCTTTAGGTGGGCCTGAGAGCTAGGGCCTAAAGCTATGTAATCAGAAATAATGCCCAACTACACCATGAGAGATGTTCTAGCAAAAAAATACCATTTCTGCTGCTGCTTAGACCTGGATTCCAAAAGTCCAAACAGTACTGCCTTTCAAAAAGTGGGTTTCTCTGTTACTGGGCTCACAGGTGAGCCCTCCTGTTCACTGCCCGACCCTGGCAGCAAGTGAGACTGGAAAAATGAATCTTTCAATTTCACTGATAAGAAAGAACCCTTATGTGGGAAACTATCAAAAATGTTAAGATGTTGTACAGCCACATATTTTAACTGTCTGCCACTTACATTATCATCTTTACCATCTTAACCTCAAACATTTTACACAAGGCACTTCTATACAATTACATTTAATTGCCCATCACCACTTCTCAGTCATACTTACTGAACGGGCACATTTTTTGGGGGGACTGCTAGAAAGTCCATCCAATTGCCCATGTTCACCCAGAAATCCTGTTACTTGGTCCAAGAAAGAAGATACATCTAACTGGTGCCACTCTACAAGCTTCTGACCTAAAGATTAAAAACCAGGATATAGAAATATAATAAACCCAACATTCTTTCTGAATTCTAAGTATTTCTTTCAGCATACACACAATTAAAATTTACTGGGAACATATCCCCACCCATCACTAGTTAAGTTACAGTGTCTTCATAATCTAAGATATTATAACCAACTGAAGAGATTCCCAGCCTTCATGATAGAACAACTATTTTATCTGCTGATATAATTTATTGCTATTTAGAAAAAGAGATTCAGACAAAGCAATACATACACAAAACTCAATCAGTTAATAATGAAACTAGCTCTACCCTCTGCTTCTCTGGTGGGATTACGAGTATCTGAATAATCTTAAATAAACGACCTAAGGGGATCCTTAAAAATGATAAGATAAACTATTATTCTTTGAAAGAACAGAACTGCAAATTTAAAATACTACCATCTCCCAAAGTTGTTTCCTAACAAACTCCCTAAATACACACATCAATAGATTTTTAAGTAATTCTGAGGCACATGAACAAGAACCTTTCCTATACATTACTACACACAATCTTGAAACTGGACCCAAGATAAAATTACAGATTATTTAGATAATTGAAAGATACACGATAGGTTAAAGGCTATAAGCTGAAATACACCTTACCTGTCCGTGGATCCAAGATGGAAACATAGGGGAAATCCCCTAGCTTATAAAACTGTATGTATCTCTGACCTTCCTCACTGTCGTGATAGACCTGTTAAGTCATTGATACATATTAAAAAAAAAAAAAAATCAGCCTCTTACAAAAGTACCTTGTTATATACCAACAGCTATTAATTCTCCCAAAGCACCTTCAGCATGTTAGGCTCGCACTGCCTACAGAGAAAATGAAGGTCACCTAATGTAAACTCTTCACCTCCTGCCTTCAGAGTCACTTCTGACACTTACATAAATACAGCAATCCATCCTTCCTCCTTTACCCAGTTCTTCCTTTTCAAGTCATCTGTCCATCTATGTCACTTCTGACTCTCAACTACAAACATCTTAATAAATCCAATACGTTCAGATTATCAACTCAAGTGCCCAGCATACTGCTAGGCAAACAGATGCTCAGTCAATAGTTGTTGAATAAAAGGTTACTGCTCAATAAAAAACTTACTGAATTCAGGGGCCTGTAAAGAATGAACTGGCAAATTACTAACATCTTAGAGTGGGGAAAAAATTAATTCAGAAGTTTTTATTTTTTATAATTTTTTTTTTTTTTTTGCTGCATTGCACAGCATGTAGGATCTTAGTTCCCTGACCAGAGATTGAACCCGTGTCCCCAGTGGAAGTCTCAGAGTCCTAACCACTGGACTATGGGAGTTTTTCCCTATAATTTTCCTTTATAATTTTTCATAATATAAAAAATTGGAGCAAGATCACCTACTGTTAGCATGGTAATTTATATAAAAAGAAACCAGTGCCAGAAAGACTAAGTGACAAATTTAAGGACATACAATTAAAGAGTACCAAACTCAAGCTAAAATCAACATACTAAACAAAGGTTTCTCAATTCCTTCAAATCTTCTACATCTACACAATCAATTATAGTAGCCACCAGAACATGTGCTACTGAAGCATTTGAAATGTGACTAATCCTAACAGCTATATTGTAAATGTAAAATACATATCAGATCCTGAAAGCTTAACACCCCCCCAAAAATACCAAAAAAAAACCACAACCCAAACGCCTCAATAAATATTTTAACATTAGTTTTGTATTACAGATACTGATTTTTAAAATATATTAGAATCAATCACCTGTTTCTTTTGACTTTTAAAAACATGGCTACAATAAAATTTTAATCATATTACATTTCTGTTAAACAGTACAGCTATACACTCTTATCAAGATGCTTAAAAAATGATGTTAAAATTCTTCTGAAGTATGCGTACTATATGGTTATATGGCTTGGCTCTTTTTTTTTTTTTTTTTGGCTTGGTTCTGTTTTTTCCTCCTTCTCTTCACTGATGCCCTAATTTTCTTTTGTCTTTACTATCTTAACCATTATGGGTGGCTTTATTTTTTCATGTCATAATTTAATTCAGTTATTTTTTTTTTCAGCTTATAACCTGGTTCCTCCTCCTAGACACCCCATACTATCAAAGTAAAATGCTATAAAATGTTTGATTAACTCTCCCCACCTGCCAGAAAATGAAATGTTCCCGGATAATATTCTTCACAGCTTCATTGCTCCATACGTCACGGTTGAGGCACTGGCATGCAAAGTCTTGTACATTTTGAATGTTTATCATCAGCCACTTATTTTGCATCTGGCCACACTCTTTGGCCTGTAAGAATAAAGTTACATAACAATTATTAGAAACAGTTTCTACTTGGTAACAGATGTGTTTCAGAATTCAGAAGTTATCCTCTTTCCATATAAATACTAAGTTTCTTCCCTCAAGTATGACGCTTAGTTTTCTGTATATAAACATTAATTACATTTTTTGCTTATATATACATGTATATAGATATGTATAACTATACAGTCCATTTGCAAGCATTTTTCACATTTAAATGAATTGTTTTCCTTTTATCCATTGTTATTTATTAGAGTGGCTGGATTTTTATTGCACTGGTGAACATGTAAACCTCTTTTCCTGAAAAAGATTCCATAAACAAGGGCACAATTCTATTGTGCTGTCTCTACTAATCCTATCCAAAAATATACCTCTTCTTTTTAATAACCGTAACCAGTATGTGTGTATTATGTTATTTTTTCAACATCATTTTACACACATTTCCAAATATATTCATTTTAATTATTAGGCACATGGCATTTTATAGATTCACCCTAAATCTTTCACTGGAAGTTGCCGAGATTATTTCTCTCAGGGTTGTTTTCCTAGGCGTGTATTTAAAAACTGAAACTACAGATGAAATGATGTTTCAGAATGATCTCCAAAAGGCTCCCCAATTAACAGCATAAGTATCAATTTTGAGTGTGTACTTCTTTTTTTTTTCCCCTTACATTGCCTTATCACCACAATGATCTAAGAAATATTACTGAACTGGAAAAGGATGGCAGAAAAGCCAAATGAGCAAAAGCTACCTCAAACCCTCTTATAGAAACAATGAAATGGAAGTCACAGCTTTTAAATGATTTTGTCCTGGAACAATGTATTTTTTTCCCAAATCAGCGTGACATGGGAAAATCTTAAGAATCAGCTAAAACTCAGATTAATAATAACTAAAGAACATATATCATTTTGGAGGTACTGGAAAATGTAAGACTAAGAATATGTTCTGTTTAATAAGCAGGTTTACACAATCTTACAAAAATTGTTATTCTACTATTCTATACAAATCTCCCAGAGAAAATAATTTTATAATATTCACTACTGATTCCAAAGGTGAAAATCAAACTTCTAAAAGGAAGTAGCCTTATAATGAGCCAGAAAGCTACAATTAACTAGCCAAAAGCTTATTTTTAAGTGTACAAAATCTAATTAACTCCTTGCTTCTAGGAAGTAATAGTATTCCACTTAATCCCTTTCCTATAGCAAGCACATGGATTTAAAAAATTGGGTGATAAGTGAGTAATTATACTGCTTTAACTGAAGAAAAGTATTTGAGAAAAAAGAAAAAACATTCTAGAGGGACAGACTAAATAGTATACACCCCTATAAGGTAAATTTACTAAGTCTGCCTTAACTGCAACACTGACCAAAAAAACCAAAAAAAAAACCACAAAAACAAAAAAAACCCTGTGTAACACTGAAAAATAAAAAAAAATGCAGAGTTCAAAAACAATAAGAGCTATCTGCTACTGTTTTTAAAAATTCATCTATTCACGGTCATGCTTTCATTCATTCAGATTCATTCATTCAATAGATATTTGAGTACCTACCATGTTTCAGGTACAGCTATAGATACTGGAGTTATAGCAGTTACCAAACCAAAAAATCCCTGCCTGCACAAGCTTACAATGGGAGAAACCTTATACAAGCAAAAGAAACTGAAAGATGTTAAGAAATTACTTTTAATGCAAATCAAAAATCAAAACTACAATGAGGTATCACCTCACACCAGTAAGGATGGCCATCAATAAAAAAATCTACAAAAAACAAATGCTGGAGAGGGTGTATAAAAAAGGGAACCCTCTTACACAGTTAGAAAAGTATGTAAAGAGGAAAAATGAATCTATTTCAATAAATATATATATGCATAAAGTTGAAAAGGAAATATACTAAAATATGCACTGTACTTTCTTATGGAAATGGAAACTACTATTATTTTTCCTTGTTGCTTTCTTTTGGCTGTGCCTCACGGCATAGGGGGTCAAGCAGGGATCAAACCCACATCTACATTGGCAGTGCAGTCTTAACAAGTCCCTCCTTTTTGGTTTTTAATTTTTCTCTAATTTTTGCCTAATTTGAATAAAAATATAAGCTATGTATAAAGTTTATTTAGAAAAACTTTATCTTATGTATTTTGTTACTGAGTCAGTTCTTTACATTTTAATTAAAATATTTTTATTTGCATTTATAGCAAGTACTTTGGAAATTAAAGTACTCTTAGAAGAACCAACTGGATGTCTAACTGAATGGCAATTTTACAAATAAACATGCATTTGTTATGAAAATAAGAAATATTTTATGGAAATTGTTCTGATCCTTTCTGTACAATATACTCTAGATTATGTCACTAGGTAATTTATGGATGGCAATTGTGTGCCAGATGCCCTTCTAGGCACCATGGACACAGAACAGTAAATAGAACAAAATCCCTGTATTCATGCTAAGAGGGAAAGAGGAAAACCTAAGAAATGTTTCCTTGCCCAGGTCAGATAATTCACCCTAAGTGCCTTGCTCACTCAGCTCCAGCCACATGAATTTCCTTGGCTGTGCCAAAAATATGCCTGAACTCTTTCCAACACTAGTATCTTTACACTTAACTGTTTTTCTACTCTTCCCTAAGATCCTTCTATGGTTTACATTCTGTCACTTTGTCCCCAAACAAAAGAGTCCTCTCTCTTCTTCCCTTATATTATTTTATACTTTCTCCCAGCATACTGTAACCTGAAATTTCTGTGTGTCAAACATCCATAAAACATATATATATACACTAAATATGTTATATAGGTATTGTATTTGGTTTTTGTTTAGTCTGCTTCTCCCTCTAGATTATAAATTTTTTTATGTCAAAGGACTTTGTGTAATTTGTTTACCACTACCTTCCTGTAGCAGAAACTGCTTACAGGTAACAAATACCCATTTTTCCCTTCACCTTAGTAACAGAATTACCAACTTTCAGCTAAGCATCTTAATTTGCTAGTATCCTTTGCAACTAGGTGTAGCCACATTGCTAAGTTCTGATCAATGGAATGTGAGAAGTGATGTCTGTGACTTCTAAGTTCTTCCTTTAAATGGAAAAGGTGTACCCTTCTCAGTCACTTCCCTCCTTCATGCTAACTGGAAAGCAAACATCGTGGTTAGCCACCTTGAATCATGTAGACAAGGACAAGCAAGGTCTAAAGAACAGCAAAATAGGACAGGAAAAGCTGTTTCCCTAATAACTTCATAGACTAGAACCATCCTAAAAGCATGGCCCCTATCTTGTTTAAGCTATTGTTTCATTCCTGGTCTCTCTCACATGGAGTTAAATCTTTATTCCGATAAGTACAATCGCCATCCCCTAGAACAAGGCCTTCCAGCAGGAGGCCTTGTTAAATACTGAACGAACTTCACAGGCATGAACCAGAACCCTTGAACACGGTCTCCCTCTAGCTACACGAAGGAACAACAAAGACTAGTTTCTAAACTTGTAAAACTGTAGCTCAGATCTGCATCTAATCCAAACCTATGGGTCCTGCCTAAGCAACCAAAGAAAGTGAAAGTGAAAGCAGCTTAGTCGTGTCTGACTCTCTGTGACCTCATTATTCTTTTAATTTTTAACATTCATCTCTCTTAAGTTTCAGCGACTTAATTTTGCATATTGCTTCCCTAATTTTTATAAAACTAATGGATAGATCATTAGTCATAATGAAATGCCTACTTTTTCTGGGAATATTTATATCATTTAAAGAGTTGTAAATGATAAAGTTGAGTATTATCAGTGAAAAAATGCATTGCTGAAAACAACATAGGCTGCAAAATACAAAAAATAAAAGGTGATATAACAAATTGAATCAAACTCCAGATGACAATATTGAAAGATTCATTTTCCCTTAATGAATAAGCAGCAGACTAACCATTTTTTGTGAGTCCAAAGTGTCCAAATTAAGTCAAATTCAGAGTTACTTCACTAAGCCCCTGAGCAACACAGAACCTAATGAAAATAGCACATCAAAACAAACTCAGATCTTTTTTTCTTACATATTATGTTATTCTCTGTCAATGGTTATTAGAAAGGATAGGCAGTTGCCATGTTAAAGATCACGAGTGAAAGAAGTGAGGAGACATCTAACCTGACATTTTTGAGCTGATAAATTGACATCAGTCTCCCTGAACTTTATTTACACAACAAAAAGAAACACATCTGGTCAAACCTCCATTATTTGGATTTTGTTACATGCAACCAAACACTTTCAGGTTTTACAATTCAGAAAATTAAAGAATGCAGAAAGAATAAGCTTATAATTAAATTTCTTAACCTAAATATTTCACTTAGGCTAGTGTCAGTGTTACGTTGAAGAACAAAATGTTTTTAAAAACACAATCATAATTCACTTCCAAATATGTAACTACTAATGTCAATTTTTTTTTTGGGGGGGTGTTAGGTCTAAATGGTCTTATATGTCTTCATAGAACCGTTCAACTTCTGCTTCTTCAGCGTTACTGGTTGGGGTGGACTGGAATGCAAAAGTAGGAAGTCAAGAAACACCTGGAGTAACAGACAAATTTGGCCTTGGAGTATGGAATGAAGCAGGGCAAAGGCTAATAAGAGTTTTGCCAAGAGAACACACTGGTCATAGCAAACACCCTCTTCCAACAACACAAGAGAAGACTCTACACATGGACATCACCAGATGGTCAACATCGAAATCAGATTGATTATATTCTTTGCAGCCAAAGATGGAGAAGCTCTATACAGTCAGCAAAAACAAGACTGGGGGCTGACTGTGGCTCAGATCATGAACCCCTTATTGCCAAATTCAGACTGAAATTGAAGAAAGTGGAAAAAACCGCTAGACCATTCAGGTATGACCTAAATCAAATCCCTTATGACTATACAGTAGAAGTGAGAAATAGATTTAAGGGACTAGATCTCATAGACAGAG